ATTTGGTAGTTGCAAACATTGTGGCTAATGCACAACACAATTGAAAAATATGAACAATTATTGTTTGCAAAATAATTGTTGATGAACAGTTATTTCACTTTTTTCCGTTGAATTCAAAGTATAGAATGATACGCGCTCAATTTTTTGTGTCCAAATTGACACCTTTATTTGTGCTTTATATTTGTTAATTGATGAAGAGACTATGCCTGAGATGAAGCCTTTCTCAAATTTAGAAATTAATTACTAAATACAGTAAAAATTCCCTCACGCGCGAGGGTAAAATCTGGGAGCTTGTATTGAATTAACACGAGTTTCGCGATGGAAATTTTGTTTATAGATCTTTGTTTTTCAGTCGGATCTTTGATTTCGTGAGCAAAAAATTTAATTAAACTTGTATGTATCGGCGTATTTTAATTGCTGGGAAGACCGGGTAAGCTACATATCTGAGCTTAGATTTTAATTGCTGAATCTAGACAATGGAACAGATAGTGCACAATGTTTGCTTGAAATGAATCTTTTATAACAGCCTTGCTTAGTTCAGTTGTTTTAAAAAGTTTTCAATGTAGGAAAACGGATATTCTCTAACGATTTTTTGGCAACAATTATTTTTTAACAACCAAAAACTCGATGGATCCGCAATTTCCTTCTTGCCCCTAGTTATATCTTTATTCATACAATAAACTATCATTTGATAGTTTTCGAATTTTCTATGAGGGCTGGGTTGCTCTTACAGCTCAATCGGTAGGTTATGTTCTGGGATACACGGCCAATCTTTGCATTCTTAGTCCTGATATATTTTGTGGATGTTTGGAGGCCAGAAAAAGGAGTTTAATACGTTCGTATGTTTGCTTCTCGATGCTGTGATTGTGGTTGCAGTGGAAGTAAATAGTGACGAATACTGTTATTGAAACAACGGCACGCACTCCTATGGAAACAACGGCACGCACTCCTATGGAAACAACGACACGCACTCCTATGGGAACAACGACACGCACTCCTATGGGAACAACGGCACGCACTGATATAAAAAAACGTCACGTGCTCATTTGGAAACAAAATACGTATTCTTTTGAAATTAATGACACTCTTCTGCAAATCAAGATTCACAGTCTTGTAAAAATCTCCTTTGGCTTTAATAAACTAGACTTGAAAAGACAAGGCTTCTCTATTATTTCTTATAATACAAACGTTGGTTTCTTGTTGAATCCTGAAAAGCTGAGCGTGTAAAATCAAGATACATTTTACAGCAATATTTTCTTGCCGGATAATTTACGTATTTGCCTTGGATAAAATGGCATTGTATGGAATAATGCATTGTGTATATTAAAACTTTTTTGATGACTAACTTCGATTAATTTCTATTATAATTATTATTCTATAGATCCGTTTATATTGCGGTTTGTGTTCAGAAATAAATTTCGTTGATTTCAGAATTCGAAATTTTTTTCGTGCTAACCTCTTAGGGCGAGATCGCGCAAATTCTGAACGCTGGTGAAGAAATCTCATACTGGGGTCTAACTATCAAAACTACTTAAGCTCACTCCGCGGCCGATTTCTCGTCTATTATTGGTGGGTTTAGCTTGAAATGCTGTCAGTGATCGGCTAGCCAGGCTACAAACTCATGATTATTTTTGGTGGTATGGCCTCAAGAGAAGATTTTTTACGAGCAGGCGTCGGACCCGACACTTGCTGTTGAAATCTGGAGGCGAAGAAGCGCATTTGTCTCGGCGCCGCGCGCTCTGGATTAGGCCTGAGTAATCCGTCAGTGTCTACGGGCGTCGCAAATTCATAAATCTTGCACATATTACTCCTGTCTCAAGCGTCTCTTGTTCCAGTGATATATTTTACTTGATTTGTTATTTTGTTACGTTGCTTGTTCGCGACCTTGCATAACTTGGGTTCTTTCGTCGATTTCATTTGACCGCTATATAACGCAACCTTTGTTCCATGTCGCATGTCTAGACAACTTAATCCAGAATCCCTGTCTTAATCCCTGACGTGGGCTGAGAACGTCTTTGGATTATCGTTGCATGATCTCGTTATTGATATTTTTTCAAACGTATATGTTATTATCAGAAGTATGAAACACCCTGTGATCAGTAGAAGGTTTACTGTTGCAAAAGTTTGCGTGGGAAAGAAACATATTATACTGATGGTAGATTGCGCTCCCTATACATGAACAGTCCCCTCAGGGGGGACTTCTGACGGGTGTCTATGCTCGTCAGAAGTCCTATGGGATTTCGCGTTCCTAGGGGGATTGTTTTTGAGCGCCCCACCGCTGAGCTCGCGGTGTCTGACTGTAGGTCTCAGTTGTGGGGTTAAGTTATTATGTAGGTAGGATTCCTTACATTAAGTTATTATGTAGGTAGGATTCCTTACATTAAGTTATTATGTAGGTAGGATTCCTTACATTTCCCTTCTCTGTCTCTCTCGTGCGGGCGGCCGACGTCCCGTGTAAGCAACCTCTTGTTCGAGTGTCTTCGTTTCTGTTGCTTTTCACCTGTCCCTCCTTGTCACTTCGTCTCTTTGAGATGCTAACGCTGCTTCTTTCGCGCCAGCTTCAGCGGGCTGAACAATTGAGACCTTCCGCCCCTTGTGGGTGATGAATAATTGAGACCTTCCACCTCTATGGTGATGTTCATCTTGACTTTCGGTGCGAGTTAGCTAACTAGCTGAAGCGCTAGTAAACATTTGGCCACTAAACTAACTAACTATACATAAACCGGTATTTTGTCTTTTAATCCAGTCAAAAGAAATCTCCGGTACGCACATTTTTTATGCAATCGAAGTTATTGCAATCATCACTAACTGTCAATATTGTTGAGGCCAGAAAATATCTCCGCTAATATAAAGACTTAAGTCTATGATATTTATACCCTACAGTACCTTTTTTGCTGTTAATTTGTTACCTCGTCAGTTACGTTAGCACTATTTTTCTTCTAAAAACTTCTAGATTTTTGTTTTTGGTACAGAAAGTTTTCGAAAAATTAAATTGTATTGGAATCCACGCAAGATTTTTCATTTCATCTTATAGTCAGCTTGTATTATTATAAATTTAATTATGAATCAGAATCATCTCAAAATTTCCATGTTTCTATCTTATACTGTATGCGAAGAAGTACCTCGGCAACCGCATTTCTGGCAAATGTTGTTCTTGTTGAACATGTGCCTTGTTTGGCATTGCAAAGTTGCTGCATTCGCATTCGTCCTGTCAATCTCTTGAATTTGCTATTAATTTTCACAGACGTTATAAACTCATTTTGAAGAACTCAACGTACTTTTCTAACGTTCAGAATGGGTTTAATAATTTTTCAATCGATCCCATCAATATTGACGCTCAAAAATTTTTTTCAAGCGGCTGATTTTGTGATCACCGAGCTCGGTTTTGAATCAGCTTATCATTACGAAAAGTCCTTTGTATCCAACTATAATGAATCTCCGACGCGTTCATTTTTCCGACGCGTTCCAGCCCAATGGATTTTGCTCCAATCGATTTTTCGATTTCCAAACTGAAATTTGTTTGCCGAATTAAATTTCAATTCCACATTTCATGTGGGATTGAAAGCGCCTAATAATTTCCAGTCAAGATTAGAATCTTTCAATTTTCCAGTTCCATAATTTGATGAGGGTTTTTTATTTGCTTCAAGGCTTTTATAATTTAATAGCGTTGCGCCAAATCGAAGCTCTCTTTTAGCGAAGTGGAGGGAGTTGAGATGTCCCAAATAAGTTCCAGCTAGAGCGAAACGGAGCGAGCTTGTGTCGGAGTGAGTGATTTAGAGGGAGTAAATTGGAAGAAATGAGAGAGCGGCTTTGGATTAGGTAGGAGACGATTTTTTACTATATTATAGTATAATCGTATAGTATTATTATATAGTATAATAATTATGAAGCTGAAAATCGATATCAACCTGACATTGAAAGTACAACATGAAAAGTTGGTATCAGGTGTGCAGGATTTGATGTCTTACCATACTTGAACATTCATTTCTGTGGGCTAAGAAGGTAGAAGAAAATTATTAATTATATAACCCACCATATGTAATATATTGGAGCTATTCTTGTAGACTTCATCACGTAGAAAATTTTGCGTTTGAAAACCTTCATCGATTCATGCGACGTCGTTGTTCGTCTTAGTTGATTTCAATGCAAGTGTGGACTGCATTTGCGATGCATTGAGTCGCCAAGAAGCCGACAGGTTTATTGGTTGACTAATAGGTGAGTGCCCCATTTCATGGCCAACAACAAACCAGTTTGTGTTCAAGCAGTTGATAAACACTAACCTGTTCCTACTTAGAGTTCAAATATCCAAATAGCTCGTGCTTCTGCAGCCAACGTGCATTGGGCTTGTATGCAAGCGTCTTTTCCAATTCGTTGTCCTAAGCATCATGTTATCCTAATTTTAATTTACCCAACACTTATTTATTACTTAACCTGGCGAAATTGGTATCTTAATTTATTTTTAGTTTCCATTAATTCGAGAGATAATTTGGGCGGCGGTCATTCGCACCGATCCAGGCTACCCAATTTTACTTTACGACATTCTACCAATCCGAAGCCTATTCCAATGTACATTTGTACACTGAATTTAAAATCCTTAATACCCACAGTTTGCTCTCGAGACTTGCTTTGATTTTGTGCCATTTAATTCTGAGGAGCGTTGGATCGAAATATTATTTTCACAAATATACGAGGCGCATTCTTTGTAATTGTCATCCTGAGTCCTGTTTCCTAAGTATTAAATTTTATAGAGCAATATAGCCTAAAATGATTCACAAGTATCAATTGTAATTGAACCTTTACATGGCTACTGTAGATTTTTCTATGACAATATTGAGATCTCGAGTGTTATTAAAATAAATTCACAAAAATTAAAACATATGGATCAACAGATATTAAATGCAAGGGTAAGAAATTTGTGAGTTATGTACTACCAAATTTGTTGTTCATAATGCCTTTATTTTCATGCAGCTGTTAATTTTTCTATGTTTTATTGTTGTCAGCGGTCGGAGATGTGACGCTGTCCCCCAGCATCCGCAGTTTAGTGAACGCCCCAACTGAGGTGGTGGAGGGCGGCGACGCGTTGCTGACGTGCATCGTGCGCAACATCGGCGGTCACACCGTCTACTGGAGCAAGCTGCTCGATGGCAAGCGTACCATCCTCACTGTGGACAAAGTCCTTCTCTCCAGGGACAGCAGGCTTTCTGTCCTCCATGATGGTCAGTGTCCAGCATAATGCAAGCTGACTTTTTTTGTTAATTTCATTTAAATCCTTCAAGCTGGCAAGTTTGAGCCACACAAAATTCTTTTTCCCAAATTTGTAACATTGAATATTATATTTTGATAATTATTTTGATACTACTGTAATAATAAGTCCTATCACATATCGGATCGTATAATATGAGCAAAAAGACCAAATAAAACTCAAACAAATGAATTATAGAATGAGAAAGCATCAATCTCGCGGATGCATTTTATCTTCTTCTCCAACTGATAAATTATTCAATGGGAAATTGTAGAAAACTCGACTATAATTTTTTCGTAGACTCTCCTTAGAATTTTTTATGAAGATTGTGCTGCCTCTAGAACACTGGAGATTTTTTCGAGAGCTCGACATGCAGATTCAGACATTGAACGAAACTGTGTCCGGATATTTGTATAATAAAAATATACGATAATCTGATGCGATAGCTGTGTGACGGACATTTATTATTTACATATGTTAAAATTAATGACAACAATAGATTGCTAGAAATTCAAACTTTCCATTTAAACTTTTGCTTATTATCACTGAATTAGTTTTTTATTTCTTCATTTGTATTGGTTTCATAATCGATATTGAACTCTACGGTCGGGCCATTTCTTCGTCGCCTTTACGCTATTCCTTTCGGGCAATTGGTTTCACTTTCATTGCCCTCTTTTTGTAAACTGTTCACCTCTATTAAGTGTTGAAATCCTTCATAAATGTTGCCATTTCTCAGCGAATATGTAGACGCTACATCCTTCTCTGATAGTTACTATTTTTAGCTCGAAATTAATTTTTATGCGTTCTTATATGAATTTTTTTACTCCCTAACTGCTTCAACCTGCGCGATAAGTTCGAATTGTATTTTTTCGAATTTTTCGGCTTTCTTTGTTTTTTTTTTATTCATCTTAGATATGTTTTCTTGGTGAACTTTCCTGGGAATTTTTCGATCAATAAGAAAGCTTCCTACATTTTATCAATTATCACTTCCCAAAACGCATTGATCTCTGATTAATGTTGTTTTAGAACTGATAAATCAATTGAAATTATGTAGACGCTATTAAGTGTGAATTGCAACAATAAAACCGAGCGCTTTTTCAATTCAAATTCAATATGCGTTTATTCAAGTTTCAAAGACGCTCAACCCACGGACGTTCATTCTCATCCTGGCTGATGACTTCCGGACCGGTTCTGCTCCGCCGTGAGATTCGCAACAACAAAACCGAACCTCTTGTCGATGAAGTAGACTTGATTTATTGTAATCCCACCTTCGCCAATGTGAAATATCGAGACTGGCGGGAGTCAACTGTGTCAGTGCAGGATCTAGGTCCGTGTCCTCAGAAATCACCGCTCGAACAACCATCTTCAACGGATAACGGAAACTTCCGCGACCGACTTGAGACCACTTCACATATTCAGGACCTTCAGGATCATAGTCCTGCTGGGTATTCAGGATCATAGTCTTTCACATAGTCAGGATCCAATTCCTGCTGGGCCGGGTCCGCAGCCGTCGCTGCCGCACGATGTTGCAGAGCCAAAACACAACGTCTTCGGAGCTCGAGCAGCCGGAAGAGAGTTCACCTTCTGCCATAATCCGACAGTCAAAACGTTCTCGAAATCTGAACGCTATGTCTGAATCTGAACGCTATGGCTCTGAAAAGACTAAATGAGGAATATATAAATATCTCTTTTATACTGATGCCAACATGTCATAAAATATTCCGTTGTACGACTAAAAGATATATTATTGATTGTAGCAATAAATTTTGGGAAGAAGACTGTCGTTATAAAGAACTAGTACGTCACGTCATGTAGCAAGTTGTGATGTGGTCTGCGACGTGTGTTGTCAGTCCCTATATGTAATAGCCAGTACGAATGGGTTCAGCTGATCCTTGTTGTTCTATGATGCAAGTGCAACGTTCCGTGCCTTTCCAAATCTTACTTGTTCGCTATTAATATTTCTTCTGTTACTGTTATGTTATATTGTTCCGCGTTGCGTTTATAAGTATTTTACATTAGTTGTTATTCTTCCAGCCAGGTAACTGGACATTTCTTGAGTAAAGCTTGGATTGCCCGAGTTTATTCGGTCCATGATCCCTCAGCACATCACATACATGAAAGACATAGATTAAATCAATACCTTAGTTTGAGAACAGTTTGCTAATGAATGAACACAATAAATCTATCAATTTTTTCTTATTCATCATAAAATTGCTCAATAATTCACATCATTTATTCCAAACAAATCATTCATTCTTTGCAACGGCCACTAAACTACTCTTGACCCATAAAGCTCATGGGAAATCATGGAGTTCGAATGTCCGTCGTCTCGCTGACCAAGAATTTGTTTATCTAATGCTGGAGAACAACCGTGAAGAAACGATGCATCGCCAGAAGCCGTATTTTTGTTCATTCCCCCCGGGGATTTCTTCCCTATTTCATTTTGAATGGGTTGCCTCCAGCCATGGAACAGGATAGAAAGTTACTTTTCGTTATCTGGCTGACGCGCATTTTTCCTGACCTATACTGAATGCATCCACCCGACCCTACTCTGAAATTTTCTAACTTTATTAAACTGAAATGAAAGTTTTAAAGATAATCATTCGTTTAGTCAAATTAGCTATGATCACTAAAGTTGAGGGAGACATTCATGATAATCACCACTAAACTTTTTCCTTGGAAGCTGTCCCGTGGTTGCTCACGAGTTCAACGTCACATCGCTGAGCTTGTTACTCACTCGACCTTGTCTGCCTAGCCCACGCACTGAACCAACTCAGACTTTAAAATTATCCCCAACAAATTATTACATGTTCGATACCATTGCTGAGATTTGAAAATTGGACAAATTGAAGACGCAGAAGAGAAGCAGTTGCAATACGACGTAGTTTTTACACCCGAAAGTGAGTTTTCTGTTAAGGCACGAGTTACTTGAATTAGATTTCCAAAGTCATTGTAAGGTGCGCTCTATGGTGAACGACTTGACGCAAGATTTTGGCCCATAGAGGACAAATTTTATTAGATATCTCGTTCATAAGATTTTTAATGGAACTGATGAAAACTGCTCTAAACGTGGAAGAAATTTCATATAATATTATATTACTCATAAAAATGCATGAAAGCTCAAAATGATCGTCAAACGTTGTATAATTTTTAGATTTGAGCTTGCAATTCAGATCCAGCTTGTATTTTTTCCACTCATGCTTTCCAGTATTGTTTCCATGAGATGTTTGCTCAGTGGCTAGAGAAAGTTCCTATAACGCAGTCGTTGCCTGGAACGAGTCTTTCCCTACTTGAACGCTGTTTTTTGAAACTAGAGAATCATATGCAGACGAGTATCAATTTTATGGAGTTCATGAGAGGTTGTGAGTGGCGTCGTAAATATTGCAGGCCTCAATGGCGAGATATACCATATTTCATTTGCCCGCTACTTAGTTTCCGATTCTATTGTTAAAATTTGTCGTTTGCTCGGTAAATTCATTTTCTCTCTGCCCATACAACACATTTCGTCTGTAAAATTCGAAATAAACTATAATATATTTTAAAAACGTCGAGTTCGAACAACTCGTGAGAATTTTCTTTACTCAATTAGTAAATTCAATCAAGGAAACCGTGTTTAAAAAACTGCACATTTTCTTTTCATTTGATAGTTACCGTTTATTAACGCGTGGCTGTGAGTTCGAGCTGAAAATTATGACGTTATCAATATCTTGCCTCTGGTTTGATTAGTATTATAAAATATTGTTCATAAGTTAAATCCCTTGAAATATTTAAAATTGTCAAAGGTTTGTATTCGTTTTGACATTGGATGAGTACTCAAAATTAATCCTCAATATCAATGACCATACTTAAAAAATACGATTGCTACCAGAACTGAAATCTTGACATTTCTGGTCAATAAAATGCCCTCCATTGATATATTCTCCTATTTTCATTCACGCACCATGAGAAATGATAAATTAATTTCAAAAAGTCACATTCGTCATTTTTTGCAGAGAAAACATCTATTTTCTTAATAAACTTGAAATTGTTCCTCTATCTACTTTTGGGGGGCGAAAATAGATGTTAATATTAATTAATCTATAAAAAATATAACTCAGTACTCACTGCAGTGAGTGACAGAGAGCGCATTTTCTCGTCGACGAAAACATGAAGTCACGGACGGACAGACGGACATGGCGAGCACAATATATAGTTCATTTGTTTCATAGATGAGAAAATGCGCTAAAAAAGGACGTTGCATTGGTGTGTAGCTTTTAACGTACTAGTCAAATGCTACATCGATTAGGTTGTTGAAATTGAATCTAAGCATGTTTGTTTAAAAACCATTACACTTATTGAAAACAAATCAAGGAGGGAAACTTGTGATCCTAATGAGCTGTAAACCAACAATATGGAGAGAACATATTTAACAAACTACTGAATTATTTGAAGAATTATTTATTCCAGTAATAAATTTAATTTGTATTCCCACTTGGCAGGTCCAGCCGTCGACTCTCCTATTATACGCGCCGGTGAGCAAATTATTCCTTGTAGTTATTACCTTATTTCTTCTTCACTTCTTTCCTTACAATAATTATCTGCTATTTTAGTCTTCATTCCCTGTGCTCTATTTTTTACATTTAATGTTTTTCTACGTGTGTATGTTTGTGTTGAATTCTGCCCATGAAAAAATAAGGTTTTATTGTCACAGTTTTGATCCGATTTGCATACATAGTAGGAAAACGATATTGAGATTCTCTGAAGTATTTATACTGGTAATATAAGTGATTTATATTATGTTATTTGTTCGTGAACAAATTATCGTCCATGTTAAGCATGAACTGACTGTACGACATCGTTCAGTTCAGCCGCTCAACCATTAGCGATTATGCTCCCTTGTCTGCATTATCAAGGCTTGGGAGAATATATTTAATGAGCAATTAAAATTAATTGATGAATACGAGATATTGGTAAACATGTCTCTACACTTCTTTTCTGTGAGATTTCTTTAAATATTGACCAAAGTGTTGATAAACTGTCGAAATTTTCAAAAAATTTTATTTAAAACTAAATGAACCTTACAACACTCAAAATTCATTTGACGAAATGCCGAAACAGCTTTATTCATTACTGCTTAGCAATTTGAATTCGTTTTATGTCCAATCCCGCGAACCTTCTCATTTTTGAGAGAAATTAAGCTTACATTTCATTATGTAGGGCCATCTTCCATCCACCATTCGTTGTAAGCTCATGATATCAATGAATGCAAAAATGAGCCATCACATGTATCTGTTATGACAGCTATCCTTAATTGTTTATTGCGATCTCCTATAATTAACAAGAAAAAAGTTGCAGGCAACTAAATTAGCAAATTAGATACAAAATTTATGGTAAAGCTATCAAACGTGGAATTAAGTTGCGCGTCCAAATATGTTTACTCGGATAAAGTGTAACATTTAGGAACTGAAAGTTCTTTCTCTTCAAACGAGATAATTTTATTATGAAAAATGCCTTTGGAACAGGCGAGCAGTTTTGGTGGAATGCGTTGATGGCAAAATTCAATAAGACAGAATTTTCAGTAAACTGTTCTGCAGAAAATATCTCACTAGCATTGAGCTTTTAATTGAGGAAATCGCGGGGTATAAAGAATTTTACAGTGAATAACAGAGGAATAATACGTATAATTATATATGAATAGCGCGTCAAAAATTAGAGGACAATCAGTCAAAACTAAATATTTAGAAAAACGTTCCTTAATTTCACTGCGCATAAGACGGTATTAACATGATTATAAATGTCTTGTATTCAAAGTAAGGTTGAACCGCGATGCTCTGAGCATAATTTTAGCTCGTTGAACATCTCTGAATTGTGAAATAAAGAAGAACAATGATGACAGGCCAGATTACTGAATATAACATTTGTTGTTCTCTGAATTTCATCTTAACTATACTGAATAACGGGTTGAAATATTAGCAGCGCTGTAAATCTTTGGGATTGTTGCAGTCTAATATAGGTTACGTTTTACTCCGTTAATTATTCCAATTGTAATTGTTTATAACCCAGTTTTGATCTTCAAACTCATTAAATTGAATAAAAATCTTAAAATAATTTTCGAAAAGGCATTGTAACCGTTTCTTCGTATTGTTTAAACGCCACAGTTAAAATGTGACTACCTTATAAATTTGACAATTTCAATTTTATACTTGAATGTTTGGTTCTATTTCCGTAGACTTTTGTCCGTTAAAAGTCGCCATATGAGCCAAATCTTGTAAGTTTTTTGAGACGAAATGCTTGTGGGTGAGCCCTAACTCAAGTTGGGTCTTGCAATACTTATCGTGGAAACTGTTTCTGATTCTTCTTCAACTTGATCTGTGAATTCGGTGAAAAACTTTAACTTTTCTTACTTTTTTCAATTGCTCTACAAATTAACAGTTGATGTGTAATTTATTTCTCGTCTATGTGGAAGCTTGATTCTTAGTAGAGATGTTTCTGTGCTTCTCTGCTCTAAATTATTCGAAAAGCGCGTATCGTATGAATCTAAGTAATTTGGTCAAAATCCTGTTGATATATTTGACTTCTCATGAGAATAGGTTTTCGATTTTTCATCGAATCGCTCTCACCAGGCTATAATTTAAATTTACCCTTGAAAGCTCATCAAATTTACTGCCGTCTGTCAATTAATCCTTCGTTTCCGTACCAGTTGAAGTCAGATAAACGTCGGTCGATGGGTTGCAGATTAATCGCTTCCTCTAATGAGTCGAGAACTTCGGTAATGACGGCAGCGCCAAAGCTCCCTCAAGTCCTCATTTTTTATCGTATCCGCCGAAATAACCGATTTCGGAGCCAGTCGCTGGCACACCGCAAATTAAGCCAATTGAGATAAATGAAGCAAGTCCCTGCAGAATTGTCCTACTAGATTTTCTGTTGATTTCTCATTACATAACGTTTGTTCTTTAGCTTCTATTTGGCACGCATCATTACGATGTTATTGTTATTGTTTTGTCGCCGTTTTTTTTTTTATTTTTCGATGTTTGTGGCAAGGCAGTTTCCAAATTACCTTTTTAGTTTTGATTATGGTGGTTTAAATAATTTTGAAAGTGTGGTATTCCATGGAAATATTAGTCATTTTGTTACAGACCATTCATGGCGTTACCCATTTCACGGTTATGAGTGCTTAATTTTTACAAATTTAATTTTTGCCAAATATACTTGGATTCAAACTCTTGCTCCAATATAACGCACTTCATTCGTTCAAAAATTACATTTATAGATTCGTAACAGTATAGTAATAACAGTTTTTACATATTATATTTTCATGGCATGGCAAATCGGCATTGAGACATTCAAATGATGAATAAATATATATGCAAATATTCAAATGAACATGTATTTAATCGCGGTTTGCTGATTTTACGCTATTAATTTCTTCAAAACCTAATACTGCTTTTCAGTTTCATTACAAATCTACAAATTTTCCACTTTTTCTTTCGATGTCGAGAACAAATCTTCTCGAGCACTCTGGTCGTGCTCTGCAAATACTTAAAAAGCTCCTCCAGTTCGCTTCATTCTAAGAGGTCATCATTAGCGCAACGTCCCTAGAGAGGCTCCTGAATTCTCTGGGCGCTTGCACTGAGTTTTTCTTCTCTAAACTCACCTTTCATGTCCGTTTAAAAATTTTTCCAACATTAAGTGCTTTGCTGTGCTATTCTCCCACTCTGTTACTAGAAATTTTTTCTGAATTACTGTCTGAAAAATTACGATTACGTCAGACAACAATTTCTGTTACTTGCATCGGTATCGATGTTTGGAGCAACACAGTACTGAAAATAATATTATTTTATTTGCATCTTCTTGCACTGTCCGTCAATATCCAATAATCTTGAAATAAATAATAATGACTGCAAATAGCGTAAATTATTCCATGGAAAACAGCCCGAAAAACGTTTTATCATCGAATTCCTCCGTCGATTTGACTTTACCTACATTTATCACAATTAAATGTGTAACGTCGTGGTGTTCAGCTATGGCAGTACAATCTTTGCAGGCGGTGGCCGCTTTCCATCTCTTGCAGTAGTGCATGAAAGTTGAAAAAATCTAAATGAAAACTCAATTTTATTCACGATTGTGAATTTTATTGAGTTGAATACTTTCGTATAAAGCAAGAACAACAATGGAAAAAGCATCTGCGCTAATGACTGTTGAAGCACAGTGGCGCAGTGTAATTTTATTTAATAGAGAAATCATTTCATTGTTCTTCATTTCGTTCTTTGAATTCAAACTTTGCGCTCCTACAGTCCTACTCTTGATGAATCTGGTGCTAAAGCGAAACTAAAAATTTGAAACTTCTGAATAATTTCAAGGCATTTTAGTTGCCACTAAAATGAAAAAATATTGTTTCTAGCATATGAATTAATGTTTCTAAAGATAGTAATAAAATTCAAGTTTTTATTCACGTAAATATTCTATTCAAAACGTCAGAAAAATCCAGTTGTATATCCGCTTAGATGAACCGTACTTTTTATTGATGACAAATCCAATTAAAGTTAATATTTTTATTTTAATGAAACTCATCCTGTAGCTAAATGTAGCTTCAAAATCATCATTCAGCTGTCCAATATTAATCATCACTATATTTTCAATAGTTCCTCCTTCAGAGACGAAAAAATCGGAATGTTGAACTACGTGCGGACGTTTTCATGATAATTAAAAAAATTTATGCTTGCGTATAAAATGGAAATAAAGAATTCTATTAACCTGAAAATGAATCAAATTCACTAAATGTAATAAATTCTACTGGAATATAAGGGGCGTTGACGTTGCAGGAGGAGACGTGTGGGTGTTGGCCATCAAAGGCGTCACCACGAGTGATTCAGGCGCCTACGTCTGTCAGGTCAACTCCAGCCCGCCTGTGCAAACTCTCTTCAGGCTCAAGGGTTAGTGTACGCTTGTCTTAAACCATCATTAACAATAATGCCAATAATAATAATATTAACTGGTGTACAGAGTAGATTTTCTTGAAATACAAAAGGTAAGTGGTCTTTTTTAAGTTAGTGCTTCAATTGAATGTTGTTTAACTATTGCTAGACAATACTTGTACAATATATTTTAAATGCTTTCAAAATTCAGCTATAAATGCTTTCATAATTTAGGTTTCTTAAAATTATAGACTGACCTTATAATCCAGTACTTCCCCTCTTTCAATTAACATCTTTGTGCCCCCCCGCACGCAGTGATCACGAACAGCACCCTGTGGTCACGAACACAGCTGCGGTCAAACCACAACTACACGCGCTGCTGCCAAGACGCGGGCGTGTCTGACAAGTGCCTGGGCTACTGCAGCATCCACACGCTGCTCGAGGGCGCCGTGGCTGCCAAGGAAGAGGAGTGTGAGCCACACCTCGCTGACGTCGTGCGATGCATGGCCGGTTAGTTAATGCACTGAATTTAATTCTAGATCTTTAAATGATAATTATGAATACTTTTGCCCAAATGGTACAGTTGGGTCAATGTAGTGAACGAGTTAAAGTTCCGATGCAGTGAATTCAGTTCTAGATCGGGAAATGATAATTAATTGTTAATACTTTTGCCCAAATGGTATTGTTGGGTCAATGTAGTGGATGAGTTATAGTTCTTTGTGCTATCGCTAATTTGTATTCTAGTTAGCAATATCAGTACACTGCATTTCCACTAGCAATATTACTAATATATATTCAAATGAAAAACGCAAGGACTGGCAACTTGGGCCAAAATATATACGCGTAGCATATTCTGTTGGCATGTTATGATTGATCATACCTATTTTTTAAGAATTGTGAGGTGTGATGTGACGCATTTTATTTGGTGGTCCTGTGATTTACAGTGATGTTGATGAATGCAACAGGATGATAATATAATCATATTTCGAAAAGTTTTGTTTAAAACGTGTCCATGTGATGCCGCTGTGATGCCACATCTAATGTAGCGTGAAGTCACGATGCGGTAATTCGTCTCTGATGTTAATAGATAATTTCTCATAATGTCATAGAATATGATGTGTATCGCTGTTTTTTGTAAGCTAAAAGTCGATTTAAGAGTAAATATAGTGGATTTGTGTTGAAAATAAATAGCGATAATTGAGTTTTCATGGACACTGTTGCATGGCGCTGTAGAATTGAACTGTATATTGGTTGTTGTTTAGCCATCTTCTACTAGAATAACTAGATCTAGAAGATGTACTAGTTTAGCCATCTTCTACTAGTCATTAAATAAATGCTTAGGAGTAAACATCCTATATTTTTTATTACAAATGTTCTGATATACTGCCTTCGTCAGCTCATGTTACTTTTGCAAGAATTTAAAATCTTTTTTAAAATCATACATTCATTGGTATGGAACAATTAGTTGAACTCTGTCCGGCATCTAGCTCGGAAATCAACTCTACTATTATTATTGTGTAGGCGAGAACAGAAACGATTTACACACGATGCTGGTGTCATCACTTTTTGCTTGCTTGGCAACACAAAAGTTTAAATAATACAAGCAGTTCAATGGAAGTTCTAAGCTCACATTAATCAGAAAGTTCATATCAATTCTGCGAGCGTGCAACAGCGTTAATTGTCCAAATGGCACTTAGTTCAGCGCGTCGGGCGTATCGAGGACCAATAATTGGAGCTAGGAATGTGCGACGCTTTGTGCTTACGGATTCAAACTGTGCAGCTTTCAACAGAATAAATTGTAAAGCGTTTAACAGCACACAATGTGAAGCGTTCAGCGGCATCAAATGTGCAACTTTCAACAGCGCAAAATGTGACGCGTTCAACGGGCAAAATGTGAAGCTGTCAATGGCGCAAGATGCGGTGAGTTCTGCGCACCGCATCTCCGAACGTTATTTATTCATTGGCGCAAAATGTATAGTTTTCTGTGGCGCAAAATGTACTGTATATTCATTGACACCCAATTCTGAAAGTATTCCGCTTACTGGTGCATTTCAGTATTCATTCTAGTATTCACTAAACTCCTGGGTCTAGTGACCCAGGAGTTTAGTGGCACTGCGAAAAGAAGCTCCATGCCCCGACACTCAGTTCTTCGTTTTGATCAAAGTTGGTATGCAGACTTCGAAATGTTTCCCTGAAGAGCTCCGTCAATATTAACGGCCTCCGTCAACTTCATTGAAGCCACTTCCTCTTAATTACGGGCCGTTTTTTGCTCTCTGCTTTCTTCAAGTGTTTCAAGGCTCTCTCGAGAGGCCGTGAGAGGCGTTCCTTTGAGATCTACGGGTGTCTTCACAAGATTTTGACGCTGCGAAAGAGTGCTTCCTTTGCCTTCAATTGGAGGCTTGCCTCCAACGCTGCCTCTTAGGGCTATAATAAGATCGATGTTTTTCGCAAGGACTTCAGAGAAGTTCACTTCAACTTCTGGCTTTCCGAGTGTCATCGTACAGGCTTTTTATATATTGACATATCTCTAGTCGTATTTTGTTCATAATCATGATTTGAAGGGAAGATTTATGGAGAGTTTGAGTTGCCGAGTGTCTTGTTCTGGGAATTTTGGTTCCTTGCATTGCATCTGTGAGACTTGGATAGACTTTCATGACAAGAAAATGTGACCACTTATTTATGAATGAATGAGGTCTTTAATGAGGATCAGCAGCGAAAGAAAATCTGAAATTGATCGGCCAAATTTCAGTCATTTTCATGAATTTACAAATTTAAGTGATGAACAATTGTTGATGACGATCGTTTTGCTGACAGTGGTTCTGTTCGGGCGTGCACACCAACACGAACAGCGTGAGATATTTTGTCGCAATTTAAATAGCCTATCCGTTTTTATGAACTAAAGCTAACATGACGGCAGCTGTTGGTGTAACCGTAACGTAACTAATAACATCCGTACAGTGTTACGTCATTAATAACGTTACTGTTTCTCAACAGATGAGCGTAACCACGTGCCCTGCTGCCAGCGTGAGAACGTTCCTGACATTTGCCAGGAACTCTGCCGCGGCGAGTACACGGTGCAGGTATGTTTAGATTACAGACATGGTGCAGTACTTGTAGCGGCCAATTTCTCGTCTGTGATTGGTGGGTTTAGCTTGAAAAGCCGTGTCAGTGACTGACTGACTAAGGTTTCGAAAGTGTAAATATTTATTTGATATTTACGAATACAATTGCCTATATATCGCTGAATAGTTACGTATGTGTTACACGAGTAGAAAAATTCAATATCTGTAGTGAGAGAAACGCTGTAGCCGACTGGAATAGCAAAAGTTACAACTCACCATTTCCTAATCTCCATAACCACTGTTAAAAATATACATGTACTGATTGCATTCCTGCCACTAAACGAATCCAAACATCCCATATACCTAAGTAAGATGCTGGGAATGCATTGCGTTTCATGATAGCAACTCGGCAGCTGTGTCCTACGCTGACGTAATAACCTCAGCCCTTCGAGGTGCCTTCGCGACTTCTAACTTTTCATTATGTATCGCGGCGGTACTGTTCATTACGGTCGTACATGCAGCGAAAGCCTGTTGTTATTGCGGCCATTACTTTACTAAACGAACCACGTTCGGCCTTACGGTCGTATATGCATGAAGATGATCGTACTCGCTGCAACGGTGCCCAGTCAACGCGTCATGTAGATCACGAAGCTCATTCGGCATATCTTATTCAGCCGTACTCTATGTACGGTCTTGTGGCCGTAGCCGTGTAACCGCGCCTTAATGTTTCGAGCTTTTTAATCCAGCATCCATCTATCACTTGCGCCATTATTTCAAACTTAAAGAAGACTGCGCCGTCATCTTCTTGGTAAAAGCGGTTAAAAACTTCAATTTTTCAGCGCTGATCTTTGATCTTTGGATACAAGCTCCGGCTGAAGGTATCGAAAAGTTCTTGTTCTTTGCGAATTTTGCGGGTCCATATCTGATGAATCTTAACCTTAGGGCTTTCACCATCTGCAAAATTTATGGTTTACGGAACGTATTATTATACCCACTACATAGCCCCAAATAGTATATTTTTCTAGTGTTAAACATACCATAGACTTAATACTGATATATTATTTCTCATGCTTTCTTAGGATGACTTCGTGAAGTCGCACTTCTCCTGCTCGGATTTCTTGCAGCCAACGCTCATGTGCGTCTCTGAGGGCATCGGTGAGTGAAGTCTTCCATGCACAAAAATCTTAAGTAATTTTTGCATGCACGGTCAATGTGGGTCATTTCGACGCTGTTTTGAAAAAAATTGTCAGGGCTGCTAGTTAAGCACCGTTCTTGTATATGATGCATAAAAACAATGAAAAGTTTTGTGTCTTTTTGACATTTTCATTGCATTAGTCCCGCTTAACTTGAAAAAAAGTGTAATGTTTTGCAACAATTCTAACAGTCAAGTGTCTCAATATTGGAGGATTTGTGAGCTTACTTTTCATAGGCACTGACACATACTGTGGATGGTAGTTCATTATCTCCTTGCACGCAAAATTTCCTGCGTACGTATGCAATGCGACGGAAATGGTGAGGCGTATAAGCTTAAATTGGCTTCTACGTATACGTTTCTCGTCGCCAATTTTACAATAATCCATTCATGGACTATATCAATTCACCGTCATTCAACGGTCGTCGGTTCAATCACTAAACTTTGGTGTCCACAGTTTCCTACATGTTTCTAATTTTTTCCCCTTAACCCATTCTATCTGGCTTCACTCATTCCTCACCCCCATGCCTTTTGACCTCCCCTCACTCCTCGGTTTCCCCTCAGAACTCTTGCCACGTCCCCCGGTGGGCGCTGTGGTGCAGGTAATGGGTCCTCGCAGCCTCAACATCAGCTGGTCGCATCCCCGCCTCGCGCCCTCTGCACCAGAAACCTACGTCATCACCATCACCCCCATACGCAAGTACGCTCGTCCATTCCATACGCAAGTACGCTCGTCCGTTCCATACGCAAGTACGCTTGTCCGTTCCATACGCAAGTACGCTCGTCCGTTCCATACGCAAGTACGCTCGTCCATTCCATACGCAAGTACGCTCGTCCGTTCCATACGCAAGTACGCTCGTCCATTCCATACGCAGATCACTGTTGTGCACTGCACGCTGTAAATTGTAACACTGCCATACGCTTTTAATTCAGTCTCATAAAGCTAGCATAAACACGACTCTCCTTAAAGCAGGTTTTAGGCATCAGTGAGCATTAGAATATTCACTTCGAAAATTTACTTCAAGAAGTCCTACATTTATTTTAGTCTGTAAAATAAAAAGCATTATCTGCGCAATTTAACATTCATTTAAAAGCCGTCAGCGCCTATATCCTCTAATGGATGAACTTCCAACTCTTGTTTTTTCAACGTCATACCGTAAAAATTGGCGACGAATGCAGCGCGTTTGATTGAAAAAAATATTATTAACTTAAAACTGCCAAAATTCTGACTGAAGAATTCACTGAGCAGACGCACAAAACAATAGCTTCCGAAAAATCCAACAACAAGCGTTACGTACTGACGTCAGCATTAGATATTCAGATTCATTGAGTGATCTAACCTGCTAGCGCCAAAGCAATCCAGCTGAAAGTTCCCATTTTGAGCTAAAATTGCGTTCAAATGATTGGACCAACTTTCCATCCATCTGGGCGCGGAAACATCGCGGAATGTTTCCTTAAATTCGGGAAGTTGTTTGGTCGCGTCCTCTTCATTTGTTGATGGACTGGAAATGACTTCGCCGTACGACTGCGCTTGCGCACTCAACGAGAGCGACAGATTTATCTGGAAATTTTTGTCAGTATTTTTTGTCGTTCAAAAATGTCAAGATTGCAAATGCTGAGAGAGGCGTTTTAACATGTAGGATATAGGCATGTATTTATCGCGCAACGAAGCTAAGAAAATACGTTTTCCTGAACGTTTAGTAGGCACAATATTGAGATTTTTAACCGTGTTTTAAGAGAATACTTGCTGTACTGGCCGGAGAATAAACTTGATCGTTTCACAAATAAACCAGCAAATATGTCTAACCTGCCTTAAATTTACTAACTGGAAAATGGTTAAGATATATTCCATCGATGTGTGAAGAATGTTCTTAAAACCAGCGAGAGTTCGTTTTCTCGTGTTTCTCATAATTAACTAGTAATTTATTAGAAATTTTTTTACTCTAACTTTTGTCCTCTGACTCTTACTATGGTAAACATCCCTTCTGATACGAATATCATTGACGACGGTCTGTTAATCCAAAGACAGTCCTGGCAATATCCTGGGTGTAGTGTCAGGTGTTAATGAAACTTGAACACTGGTTTCTGCTCTGTTTTTTTTTACTTCTTTATGACTTTAAAGAAAGTTTTTCTGATACTCAGCTCTGCCGAGTGTCTTATCCCAAGAACTTTTATTCTATTCCACCATAGGTTCGACCCTCCTGAAGACTTTACCGCTGCTAGGTCAAACATGAACTCCTCCGCCAGCAACTTGGACCACATCACCATCAAGCGATACGTCACTAGGGTGAGTGTTGCTATACTTTTAGTATACTCTTATTCCCTTATAAGGGTTTATTATAAATAAGATAAGAATTACGTTTCGAAAAGTGGACGGGTTTTCTTCGAATCGGAAGTAAAAGTTTACATCTCGCCCGAACTGCAACCCAGGATTCAATTGTTGGCTGATTTTATGTTAAAAAGTTTCATCTCTTTTATGAATATCTAGCTCAGTGAACGTCAAAACTTCTGCCGTTTCTTCAATTGTGGGAAGACACATGGCACAGAATTCAAATTAAATTAGAATCTCATGTGTATGTATGGCCACTGTCATTTTCAAGGAGAAAAGTTGTTAGTGATGTCGCCATAATAATCAGCCCAGAAACTCGTTGGCTAAAATGCGCAAGAAATTTGTCGCCTACAGACAATTTTAAATCAACGTGACTCTGAAATTAGGTACTTGTCACCTTCGATACGTTCAATGTCATGATATTTAAAAGTAATTTCGACGTGTCAGCAATAATAGTTGTTTATTTTATGGCCTCGACTAATGCCTTAGATGTACAACTTCCTAGAAGTGGAACGATTTTAGTGTTGTCCTGCTATCAGAACTATAAATTCGTGTAGGTAGTATCCAGTTGCCTTTCAAATAGTTATGCTTTTTAACATCGTATTGGTTTAGAAAGGATACCGTTCGTGAAACATCGCCGTTCACCATTTTTAAGTTTCATATATATTCGTGCGTTCTAGCACGAACGTGCCCGAAAATTGCCGGTAATAGCGCCAGTCTTCAGTCTTCATCGGTTGAGAGACCCTCAACGCGGCCCAAATTTGACCTCATCCAGAAAGTTTGGCCGGAAATTTGTCAGTCTGACTTCCATCTCCGGTCGTTTGGTGTTCAACTGCGAGAGATCGAGTCCAGTTAACCGGCGAAGAGTGATGTTTTCTTGCGTGTTAACTTCTTGTGGACTAGGAGTACCGCACTTGTTGTTGGGAAAAAGAAAATCGTGCTCTTCCATCTTCTAAGTTGTAGAAGGTGATTCAAGTTAAGCCCCTTGTTCCTCCGCTGTCCAGGAAATTGCCTTACAATGAATGCTGTAAATTTGATTCGCTGGCGCTTTGTTGTTGCGACTTCGACCTCGGAAGCAATGGCGGTGCGGCATGTACAGGAAACCAGAATTTATCGCGCGCTTTGAAAAACAACATGATTTCCGAGCTCATAATTTAAGCAATTTATGTGGAATTTTTCCTTGCGTCTCGTGGAGATTTGTCCCTCTGGTATTTGTAAGGTAAACAATAAACATTTTGGTACCATTTCTAGAAGAAGAATTGTGATGAAAATGAAAATATTTCTCTACGGGAATACCTGCAGTGATAACAAAATCAAACTTCATTCTTTCTTCCTCATCTTGGTATATTTTTTCTTACATTCGTTGTCATGCACTAGAGATTCAAATGGTCTTTCTGGTGTCTCGAAAGTTCACCCAGTCAAGGTTGTGTCCCAATAACTATGACTTACTCATGTTTCTGAAGCTCCTCCAGACAAAATTATTCGTCTAAATAACTACCTATGTCTTATTTATGTCTCTGAAGCTCCCCCAGGCAAAATTATGTGCCTCAATAACTATGGCTTATTTATGTCTCTGAAGCTCCTCTAGACAAGATTGTGTATCTATATCTATGTCTTATTTATGTCATATGGTCAGTTCAAAATCTCCGCATTATCATAATTCATAATATGCTGATAAACCGTGGTTTATTTAACTTAAATGCTAAGCCACATTTGCGACAAATCAAACTTTAAGAAACATTAACCAAACGGAACGAATTCCTGTACATTTGCAGTTGGTCATTTCTCACGCTCATGTTTTCAAGTTCAAATAGCTATTATTTGATACAGTTCTATGTACATTAACTTGTTTGAACCAACTGTACAATTATGTGAATTCATTATCTCTCTGGATGTGCCTACAGTAACTAATTTAGTAACGTTTAGTTATTTAAAACGCAAGTTATTCAATAATTTTGAGGAAATTGACTCTAATAAATTAAAAATATTCTTTTTGAAAACGTTACTGAGTTATCGTACTTGGAACCGTCTCGTGCATCTATCTCATTCAGCTGTACACGTTCACTCAGTTCTATGCGTCGCCCCGATGTCCGAAGGAATTTCAGCATTTTTTTTATTAATTCTTTAGTGCTTCCGACTTAACTGTCTTAATCACTACTTTATGAATTTATTCACTTAATCTTAATTAGATAAGTCTTAATTATAAGTCTTAATTATCTTAATTATAAGTCTTAATTAGATAAGTCTTAATCACTACTTTTTGAATTTAGTTGTGTGGGTTGGCAATCGTGGTATCCTAGAATTTTTTGCTAAAGATACAGCTTTTTCCCGAAACGTTTTGAATTTGAATACCATAAATTTATTGTCATTTTATTTTCATTCAATTCTCAGCCTAACTCTGTGGATTATTCATAGAACATAATTTTTTTTACGCATCGCTGTACAGAGAAAAGGCGTTGAGATTTTTGTAGCCCTCTGGCTACGAACACGTTACCAGTTGCCGCATTACCACGTCTGGTTGACAGCGATATCTCAACGGGGTACAAAGCTCCACGACCGTATTTCATTTAAATAATTAAGACCAGCCTTATATATAAACAAAAAGTAATACTCAATGCAAAAGCTAAAATATCATTTATTTTAAAATGTATTTGTAAAAAATATTTTCTTTGTTTCTGCAGGTGCCGGTGAACATTACACACTTCGTGCAAAAGATGCTGACACCGCTGACGTGGTACGAAATCGAAGTGACGTCGGAGAACCGACACGGAGCATCTCTACCGCCCTACACTCTACGCGCTCTCACGCGACCTGAGTTCGAACCTCCAAGGCGGCCTGTCGCTAACATCAAATTGCCCGACGTCATGTCCTGCTGTGCCAGTAAAGGCATCACACACGAGAGGTCAGATTAAGGCATTAACGGGGCATTTCAGAATGATATAACCTTCATCATTGACATGTATGATGCAACCTTCATGTGAGTATGATATAACCTTCATTGCTCTGAACGCGATAACTGCATTTGCAAATACATGTGATTCCGACATTCACCGATGTTTATTACCCCTAAAAAGGTTTTACGGTAAAATTTAATTTGAAATTTGTTGTTGGCCTCGGTTGCTCAGGTGCCTCACAAATTTATGCAACCCGCACAACGATCGCATCGCCGAACCTGACATGATCGTGTGCGCGCCGTGGGCTCAGGAAGCGTTCTCGTGTCTGGCGGGTGACTACGACCACAGCGACTGCTGCCGGCAGCGCGGCCTGCCAGACGTGTGTGTCGAGCTATGTACCGGCAACGTCCAGAAAATCGACTACAAGTATTTCAGGTTAGAATTTACAAATGTTTTTGGTTGGATCTCTATTACCATTATCCGATTTTTTAAGCTTTAAATGGTTAAAGACTTAAGTGTATGCCAATTAAAGTTTCTTCTCAGGGCTAGTAAAGTTTATGAGAAGGCCCAATACTCATATTTATAGCTTCATCTTTTTAGAAGTTATAATTTGTCGTTGACTGTGGCAAAGATTAATCTCTTTTGAAGTTTAAATGATACGTTGAAATACTTTTTCACTTAATCGTTTGAGGAGGATAAATTATATATTGAAAATAAGGTATTTAATTTCGAGGTATTCATCTTATTCACAACGTCGTGTTCATATTCTGATGACACTTAACTTGCCACATCAGATGTGTGGACTATTTCTCCGACTACCGCGGTTGCCTGCTGAAGGGGTACGGAGTTCTGCCGTCTTCTCCGCGCAATGTTCGTGTGAGCAACATTTACACCACCAGCGCCCTCCTGTCCTGGTCTGCTCCTGTTAACAACAGCGACAGTGTCACGTCCTTCCACTCCTACTACAGACCCATTGACCCTGACAGATCCTGCCGAGGCGTTTGGTGAGTACTTTGAAAATTGTATTGTAAAAATTTCACTTACAGCGATGTACAAAATATTCCTGCTGATACCTGTGTAATTGATGCAATAAATTATTTCAAGATAATGAACTTGAAAACTCACTGTCCTGTAGCTACCGAACAGCTTTTTTACAACACTTCTCTTTAACTTCACTTCTTGTTTGTCTGTCTGTCTGTCTGTCTGTCTGTCTGTCTGTCTGTCTGTCTGTCTGCTACAAATCTTGTAATCAAAATTTAATACACTTCTACTTATCCTATCGATCTGAAATTTTGTCCACTTGTGTAAAGTTGGAGACAATGCATGAATCAAATGTAAAAAAAAAAGATTTTAGAAATTAAAAAAATTTATTTTTTTTAATATTAAAAAAATTGAAAAAATAATTTTGTCAGCTACAAATCTTATAACTGATATTTGACATACTTTTACCTGTCGAATTGATCTGAAATTTTGCACACTGGTGTGAAATCAGAGGCAATGCACGAATCAATAACCAGCATAAATAATTTTGAAAAAAATTTATATATTAAAAACAAATTATATATATTTAAAAAATTGAAAAGGTAGTTTTTTTTTATTTTCGAAAATTAGATGAAAAATTCATTGTACATCTGTAAGATTGGAGATACTGCATTCTTTGGAAGTGTTGTCTTTAAAAAGTAGTTTTTAAACGTATATTATTTAGAATCTGAACGCTACTCATTCATATCCTGTTGAGCTAAATCGGTATTTTTTTCGATGCGATTGTAGGAATGATGACATCGGGGACACAACTTACAAAGGCGTGCTTTCCCCGCATTCACCCTTCGTGCTGCAGAACTTGTGCCCGGACACCGAGTATGAGATCTACATTCAGGCGTTCAACAGCCACGGTGCCAGCGATCCCTCCAGCCGTATATTGTTCAAGACTCTTTCAGAGTCTGCCCTTGAAGACAGGAAGGCAGAGTACACCTATGACTTGACAGGCTGCTGCCACAACGTCTTAGTCAGCCCTGGCTGCATGCCATTGTGTGACTACAACGCACGCATGAGCCACGTACGCGCGCTAACGACAACGTGCGTGGCTGAGCTCAGCCGCGTGCTCAGATGTCAGGTCGGTGGCCGCAACCACGGGCCGTGCTGCCAGAGACGAGGTGTGCCTGAGTCCTGCCAGAGCCTGTGTACCGGAACCTTCATCCCTGACGAGGTTGTCCTCAGCAAATGCAATGCCTACATCGGCAACATCGTCATGTGTCTCGAAGACGGTACGTGGCACTTGTAAATTCGGAATAATTTCGTAATATTAAAGGTAGCGAATTATACATCCGTATATAAACAAAATCGATATGTATACACTAGTCTGTCAAAATCTAATCATAGACTCGGACAATCTTCATATATTGTACCCAAGTTTTTTTCCCAACCATTTATAGTTATCATCTTATTTCCAAGAACACTAACCTACTGCCAATGATAAATCTAACCATATTTAATTCTGCAAACCATATATTTCTTGTAATAAACAAAAAATATCAATATTCACCTACAGGCGTTGGCCTCATCCCGGGCCCCGTATCCTCGCTGCACATCACGGCGGTGAAGGCAGAAGGCGTCACGTTTGTATGGGAGCCGCCGTCGGAGGGCGCTAACGTCACCCACTACCAGGTCCACTACGAGAGCGTCGACCGAAATTCTGGCTCTGTTGGACAGTTCGCATTGAATAAGGTGAATATATGGAATCCTTTAATATTCGATTATTTATTCTGATATTTATGTTATCTTGAGGACATTTTGAAACACTTGTCATTTATTGGTCAATTTTGGCGGCATGGAAATTGTTTGTGTCTGAATTGGTTTAATTCTCCTTTGAATGCCAGTTAAGTAAACGCAGGCAAAATTAAATATGAATAATCTGCGTTATGACATTATTGGCTCAGGATGCTTTTACTCGAATTTAGTGTAACATAGTTCTATTTTCAACTTCTTGATTTATCAGACTTTTTATTGATTTTCCGCTTATTTTTTACCATTGGAGAAAGTTAATACTTCAGAAATAGTCATAAATGGAGTATATGATCCAAGTATAATTTGAGAATTAATAATTAAATTCGAAATCGAAAGAAAATAAAAGCTTTTGTTGCAATGTTTTTCATGGGAAAATATTCACGTCGGTTCTTCTTTTCATCGCGTCTCTGGTAGACGGTGAACACGTCTGACACGGTTGCAGCCATCAAAGATTTGGACCCTAAACTCTTGTACAAGTTTTTCGTGGTGGCATCTAACGAGAACGGCGTGTCGCTGCCATCCTCAGTCCTGCACCTGAACGTCAGCAACTACCTGGAGCAGGTGGCCAAAGGGGAGCAGGATCCCGGTAATCCGGTGGCTGGAGTGCCTTCCGCACCTCACAGTCTGCGGATGGAAAGCAAAACTGCCACGTCACTCACCATCTTGTGGGAACCGCCTGAGCTTGCTCTGCCCATTGATAGGTTCCAGTGAGTGACTTGTCTAGTTTCCTTACTGGTATTTTCTGTTAAGAGAATCAATTTGTTGGCCTAGGGGTGAATGCAATTAGGGTTGTTTGTACGTCGCCGTTCGTGCCACACAGCTCTGATATGTTCATTTAGCAGTTTCTAGAAATTTCTAGAAAGATTCGGTTATTGGGTATCCAAATCATCTAATTTTGATACCCAATAAACAGCATACAAACCGATTTAGTATCTGTGCTCCTTGTTTTATTGCTCGGATTTCTTTTGCGTGATGCTCAAACACCAGTTAATAATTTGTTCATTTCTTCAACTAATTTATTAACTGCCTATTAAGTATTGCTTACCTGCTTAATATGCATTGCTCAACTGCTTATTATATATTGCTTAACTGCTAATTTATTATTATTATTATTATTATTCCCTTGCAACTTCATGCATCCTTGTTTTTCACTTGCCCTTCAGATACGTCGTTCACCACTCGATGGTGAAGACTCCTAACGTCTCCGGCAGCGGTAACGACAATGACGTCACATCTCTCACAGAAGGTTTTTCATACAACATCACACGCACGAGCTCCACGGCCATCAAGCTGGAAGACCTGAAGCCCAACACGCAATACGTGATTTACGTGACCGCCATCAACGACATGGGGGAAAGTCGGCCGTCAGAAACGCTGCTCGCTTGGACGGACCCTGCATACCCTGCTTTTGTCGAGGTTTGATCTTTGAGTTTGTTGGTTGGTTTTCGTGTGCCGAAATTTATATTCAATGGAAGATATTTTTAGGAATAAAGCTGAATTTAAATAGTATAAATTCATAAATTCGTCAGGTTTACTACCTCAATAGGCATTTTTTATCTTTTCTTTGCAATACCGGGATAGATTGTAAAAAAACTGATTTTCTATAAAAATTTATATTCATACGACATTATTATTAATTTTTTCTAATGTAAAGTCTTGTATAAAGTTTTCGGACACAAAGTGCGATAGAAAATTACAACGACTACGATAGAAAATGTTATGGATTCATTCCAAAAATTTTACCCAAAAAAGAGAAGGGATCGATTGGTTTTCCGTCAACTGAATCCATGAATTCTCCAGCTAAATCCATCAAAGTTCTGCCTGACTAACATGTGACTTGAACAGTGGAATGAAAGTACCTTCCAAGTTACGAGGCTTGGTTACAACGGACGGATCCTTCAACAAATTTTTCTTTAACCACTCTGAATATTAGATCAAGTTTGAAAAGTAATGCGAATGTTAAAAGCCATTTCCATCTGATAATGGAAATTCTAACTTCTCCTAACTATTCTATTTGATAATGGACAGAATTTTAGATAATTTTTAACATGTTTCGGGATTGAATTTAAAATTGTGAACAACAATGTGACCAAGCGGTCCATGTTGACAGACACCCACGGTGCACCCAACCAGCCTGGTGGTTGAGGGGAGCAGCGTGACCGTCTTGTGCATCGCCATGGGGTCTCCTCCCCCTACTGTCTCCCTCTACATCGCAGGCATCCTACTGCACCAAGTAAGAGCCAATCCTCCACCTACTGTCTCCCTCTACATCGCAGGCATCCTACTGCACCAAGTAAGAACCAATCCTCCACCTACTGTCTCCCTCTACATCGCAGGCATCCTACTGCACCATGTAAGAACCAATCCTCCCTCTACATCGCAGGCATCCTACTTCACCAAGTTAGAACCAATCCTCCTCCTACTGTCTCCCTCTACATCGCAGGCATCCTACTGCACCAAGTAAGAACCAATCCTCCACCTACTGTCTCCTTCTACATCGCAGGCATCCTACTCACTGATTAAGCGTCACTCGTTCGCTCCTACTTTCTTGATCACAAGCATTTTATTGTCTCAATCAAGTGATGCTTACTCCATGAAATGTTTAAAAATGTTCCGTTTGGAACACCGGTTAGTGCACATAATTTGCATACCGAGATGAACGAAACATGTGCATGCAGGGATGCAATTTAGGCACCATGCATGTTCAAGCCTAAGCTGCTAAATATGCTCCAAACTTAATTGAATCCAAAGGAGAGCGTCGCATTCTTCTCCTCCGCTAGTGTATTGCTGAATTAACAGCGGTGATTATGCAAGCCCGACTTAGTCGGTTCTCTAATCAAGAGCTCATGGATTCCCTCTAGGCTTGCAGAGCTGTTCTAATTTCACATCAATGAGCTTCACTGCAGCTCATTGATGGCCGATGCAACAAGATTTGTGATAGAATTCTAATGGCCTATTGAAATATAGCATAATAAGCTGATGGAAAATGAATTTTTGAAATAAGTAAGTAGTGATATTAAGTGGTTTCAATTTAATTGTCTCTGTGCAGAATGTGTTAATCATAAATTATTTTCCCCAAATCTCCTTGGAATTTGTTGTAGTGGGTGAACAAAAATTGGTGTAATGCAATCATGAGATTTTCATGCATATGCTGCAATGATTTTTCTAAATAAATAGTTCTCATTGAATAATTGAAATTAAGTTTGCAGTTTCACAACAAATTCCAGTTTTCTTTCACATCAATTGACTTTTCGACCAAAAATCGATTATTTCTTCATACTCTTACGCGCACATCTTGAAATTTCGTAAAAAGTTTAATTATCTTTGGTGTACTTTACCGCAGTTTGTCAATTCATCATTTTACTTATTCGAATAACTTTAGGATTTACGGAACAGTTTACAATCCTCCCTTGAACAAGTATGGAACAAACAAGATGGTTTACATTATTCTTCCATGAACAAACGCTTGTTTTCAGATTTGCATTTCTGTTATTTTGAATATTAAAATAACATGACTTAACTCGCCAAGTTAATGCCAGACGGTGTCACATTGTATTCCCAATTAATATAATAGTATAAGCTATTAAATGGTGATTAAATGTCACTTCTCCCAACATCCCTCCTTTCTACTTCTCAGGATGTTACACGCCACATGGTGACGGTTGTACACAACATAACACGCAACATGACCGACATATCCTGCTATGCGGACAACGGCTACGGCACTCCCATGCAGAGCTCCGTTACTATCACCATATCACGTGAGTAGAGCTATTATTTCAACGCTATTGTCGGATTTATTAAGTAATTGCTGATTGTGCACTTGGCTAATTTTTTTATACAGAAACAATGAATCGAATTTACAGTTTACTAGGTACATAACCTTCAACATGCTTCAAAAAAGTTTTAATAGTTTATGTGTCGTTTGAATGATCACTTACTTCAAATATTATTTGAAAATTGCAAGTAAACGCAATCTATTTGAAACTATCATTATTATTTGCTACAACTTCGATTCATTATTGTTGTGGATATTTTTGTTTGCCGTGTCAATTTTAGTACCAACATTACGGAACTTTGTTGGATGTTTCCTCTGCTTACTTAAGAATGACCTGAGAATGTGCGATAGTGATAGAATTACTCGCGTCTAGGTACGACATAGAAATGCCTGCTGGTAAGTGCCTGCTTCAAAGCTTTTTAACTTTTAAAGTATTTCAAAATGGTCGTTTTCTTCTTTTTTAAGGTCCCACGAATTATAGATGATTATTTTTTCAAACGGTTTCAAGGTATAGTTGTGGCATCTTTGTAAAAGAAATAATATTATTTTCAAAATGAATAAATAAAAGTGCCCGATGTGCTCATATTACCCCATGTCCCCAGGGGCGCCCGAGGTGCTTACATTACCCCATGTCCCCAGGGGCGCCCGAGGTGCTCACATTACCCCATGTCCCCAGGGGCGCCCGAGGTGCTCACATTACCCCATGTCCCCAGGAGGTGAGGGATGTGTCGTGGTATGGGACCATAACTACTGTGTTAACCTCATCAATGATGAGAACATGGTGAGGGATGTGTCGTGGTATGGGACCATTCATTTGCAGTGTTTATCCACTTGTTACTAAAACCTTGCCCTAGCCATTTTGGATGATTCACTCAGCGTGTTATTTGAGTAGTGTCATTTCCTCGTGTAGCACATCTTTAAACATTCCTTGAGTGGTGCTAAAATTTATGCCTCACTTTTTGGTTTTGCTTGTTCATCGTAAATGATGAAGTCGTTCTTTCCCTAAAAGTTTCCTTTGCATCTGTGGCAGGCCAAGGGCCTCTTCACGATGGAGGTGTTGATCAAGAGCGTCAATGAGAGCGACGCTGGGGACTTCTACTGCTTCGCTCGTAATGCATTCGGAACAGCACTACACACGATCAAGGTTAATTTTGTTATATTAATTATTAAGTTTCACAAGGTGGTTGAGTGGATAAAGTTCAGAGCACCAGAATTGAAGTAGTAAGTTATGGGTTTAATGCCAGTAGACAACTGTGGAATGAATTGCGAAGTTTAGAAACGGTAGTGAGAGATTTTCGAGTATATTTCCGATTCATAAAATGTCCAATAAAAAGGCTTTTGGTAAACTTCACGTTTGAAGTTATATGGTTTTATTTCGCCGTATTTATTTAGGTTATTGACAACAAATTAAAAACGTACTTTTTGGCTGAAATAAGACACGTCTATCGCTATTTCCTTTAAGTGAGCTATGTTAACAATCAAAAACCCTGTATCAGCCATATCATGTTATCTTACTACTAGTCATTTAATAGTTCATTCAACACCAAGTCATCTAATAAAAGATATCTGTTTATCAACTCATCACATTCAACACTTGCACCGCCAGGTGGTTATATCGCCGCCTCTGAACCTGCCCCCGGAAATATCTGAGTGTTGTCGGGCCAGCAACATGAGCGACGCGTGTCTCGACGCCTGCGATTTCGACGAGATCAGCTTCGACAAAGTCCTTAACCGCGATCAGTGCATCCCTGAGTTCGACAAGCTCATCCGCTGCGCTGCTGGTAACTCATCACACGATTAAGCTAAATATGTTATTAATTTTTCCATTTCATTCACAGGCGATTGCGATTTCGCATCCGTTTTAAGCGTTTCTTGTCAAAATACGTTAACGCTCATTACTCCATTACTCAATGTTACCCGTCGAACCCAAATGAAACAGTACGTCAGTTATCCGTCCAACCCTGTAGTTTGCCGAATAAGGGTAATTCACCACCGCAAATCCCACAAACTCTTAAGTTATGCCCGCCACTGCTAGTGTTTTTTATTTATTTATTGAAAAAAGTGGTTACCCCGATGGCTCGAGGAAAAAACTCCACATTGAATTGTTTCTAAGCTAAAGTCCCGTCCACTAGATGGATCGGACCACAGGTCGTGCTGCAGCCAGCGCGGTGTGCCGGAGACCTGCCTGGACTGGTGCAGACAAGAGCCTGTGCGCGACAACAGAGCTTGTCTGCTGCAGTGGGCACCCGCCATCTTTACCTGTTTCGATGAGGGCAAAGGTGAATCTTGAAAATAATTGGCATCAATAAAAAAATTCAAAACGGTAGTTCTCGTTGCACTTAGTTTGCATTGTTACGGTTAAATGCCGATGTAAAGTCCTTGATTTATCAGACTCTTTATTGATTTTTCCGCCTAATTTTTTACCAGTGGACAAAGTTAATACTTCATGGTCAATTATGATGGCTGAACGTCAGGCTAATTTTTCTGAGTTACGCATAATAATTCAGAATGCTTTTTAGTTCAACTAATGCAAGACTATTCTGTAGACATGTTGCCGGGACCGCCCTTGAATGTGCGCATTTCAAGCGTTTCTGACCTGAGCGCATTCGTAGAGTGGGACGTGCCTGAGAAGAACCCTGACAGAGTTGAGCTCTACAGGTGAGTAAAAGTTTATAAACATTACTCTTCAGAAAGGCTTTATATTAAACTATAATTTTGTACAAGATAGTTGCATCACTTGAGAAATGAACATAATGATGTTACTCTTATTGTTTGAATGAGAATTATAAAATTCATCATTATTTCCGAGACGTGCACCAAAACGACATAAAAATGACGTGACCCAAAAAACACTTGATCAAATAAATTTAAAATCGCCCATCACCTCACGGTAATTCTGATGCTATTCGTTAACTACATCAACGAAGTTTACTGCAACCATATCGCCTGCTTTACGATTTATAGAACACGATGAGATTTTCTAAATTTCTCTTACGTCTCGTTACCCAATTATCGCCAAATATCATGACTTTATTTTGCTAAGCATAAAGAAAAACATAAATCATACCAGCGATTAATTAGTGACTATTACCTATTCCTTGTATGGCATATTGCTCCCTTCAATGGCACCTCCGTCGCCCATCTAATTCTGGCTAAATGACTCCGAAACGTTTTCTCTTATAAAGATATGGTGAATTTTTGTGGTATTGTTTTTGCTTTTAAATTCCTGGTTAACTTGCAATTTAAGCAAACAAGTGATTTTAATGGCTAAATGGCATGTGGCTTGGTGCTCATTCCTCAGGGTGTTTTGGCGGGTGCTAGGCCAGCGTGTGGCCCAGAAACAGGACACATCAGGCACGGGGCTCGAGGTGACAGGGATGAGGCCAGGCCTCACTTACGAACTGGCGGTGAAGGCAGGCAACCACAAGGGCACCAGTGTCCTCACCCCCACCATCGTATACAGGCACGGCGCCTCCTACGTGTCCTCGGCCAGCACCCATGGTGAGTAGGAAAACTATATAGGCATATAAATGTATATCATAGAATTATTTTGCTTTTTTTCACGTGCAAGTCTCACAAATTAAGCAGTACTTATATATTTTATTAGAACTTTGTTTCTAATTTTTGGTACCAATGAGCAATTCTCGAGCTGAAGAACAGCAACCAATTCCAATATTTTAACATTTTCAAACAAATGTTTTTCCTATGCTTCATGCTATCTACCTACCATAAACCTTGCAACTTGCATGTTTCGTTTCACACTGACTGTATGATGGAGAGTGTTAATGATTATGACTTTCATCCGGTTGGCTACTAATGCATCATAGTCTTTTGATTCAACATTCAAAAATCAGAAACCTCTTAAAATTTTAATTGACAGTTTAGCGACCGAACTAAAAATTGAAATAAATTCAATAGCGCTGCTCCACAGTCTAGTCAGTAAGAAAATTTAATAAATTCGCTAACAAAGAAGGCGATACGGCATTTTTTATGGAATCAAAGAGCGTTTGATGGGCAGCGTGCCAGAACATTATGTGTTCATTGCCGCGCTTTACGAGCCTCTCCATGAGGCATGCATAACACGCATCTATGTCAGGCGCCCGCTCACAAGTTCGCACAATAAAGAGCTCTCGTTCTTCGTACACTTTAGTAATTGAAGCGCAAATGTTGTCCTGGCCAATGTCCAAAATGATAAATGACCCTGATTTAAGATCAGAAACTTTATATTTGTGATTTTATTTATTTTTTATTAGTCAAACGAAGTTTATTACTGGCGTTTCCAGGTCAAAAGCAGGTTAGAAAAGTAATTATTATAGACCAGGCTTCGAATGCACAATATACACGTTATTTAAGATTATTAACACTAATTTGAAATTTTTCTCAAAAGATATTTGCACAAAATTGGATATTGTGGATATACAGTAGCTCGAAAATTTGAACATATAAGTACTATGAGAGTAATTTATATCTCCTGAAGAATCCAGTGGTTTGTTGGTTGATAGCTGGAGACTATGGCCTAAGCTATTGCCAGTCTTGTAGCGTCGGGGCCCCGCATGATGCTGGTGCAGGCGTCGGGGCACCGCATGATGATGCTGGTGCAGACGTCGGAGCACCGCATGATGCTGGTGCAGGCGTCGGGGCACCGCATGATGATGCTGGTGCAGGCGTCGGGGCACCGCATGATGCTGGTGCAGGCGTCGGGGCACCGCATGATGATGCTGGTGCAGGCGTCGGGCCCAACTTTCAACATCTCATAATATTGTAATAAATCAGAAGTTTGATTTTGTCATTTTCAACTCCGTTTTTGCTGTTACTTTGGACAATTGACTGCAGGACTTGTTCATCTACCCTGTAACCACCGTTCATCATTTTTTGGTTGAAAATGTTGGGGTGTTCTACATTTGATACGTTATCGTTGTTGGCTCGGTTTTGTCTCTTTCGAAATGTGAAATTTCTACGTACATAATTCTCTATTCGAATATCCATTCTTACCAACATGCGTTTGCAGGTTCGGAGTTAATCTTTTCAATTTTATATCTCTCTCGGTTCACAGGTCATGTTAAAACTTTTACATCGTTAGACGTTTAACAACTGAACGAAGGGCTATAGCCGAGATCTTCATTATCTAGAAAGAGTCTCCAGCTATCAACCTACAAACCACCGGATCCGTTAGGACATGGAAATTATTTTCTCATTAATATACAGTTCTAATTTTCGAAATATATCCACATTACCCTCCTTTTAAAGAAATTAAAATTTAATTGTTAAAAACACAGGATGGAATTAACTATAATATCGTAAAAATATGAATATGCTCAAGAATTAAAGCCCTATAATTACCTTTAATTATCTACGTTCCCGACCTAGTTAACTGAACTCTACGTATGACGTAAATGTACTCACAAGACCGCATGATGCCGACAGACGCTACAGGCGTTGGTGTGGCGTTAGGCATCGCGGTGGCGGTGTTGACGCTGCTGCTGGTGGTGGTGGGGGCGGTGTGGTGGATGTGGCGTAGGAGGAACCTCCTCAGGGGCAAGATCACCAGCTCCGCGTCCCAGATGGGCATCGCCTTCGAGAACCCGTCCTACATCAAGGAACAGAACGGCGACACTGTGCAGGTGAGACTAGTACAGGTGAGACTAGTGCAGGTGCATGTGAGACTAGTATGCAGGTGAGACTAGTGCAGGCGCAGGTGAGACTAGTACAGGTGAGACTAGTACAGGTGCAAGTGAGACTGGTGCAGGTGAGACTAGTACAGGTGCAGGTGAGACTAGTGCAGGTGCTGGTGAGACTAGTGCAGGTGCTGGTGAGACCAGTGCTTGTGCTGGTGAGACTAGTGCAGGTGCAGGTGAGACTAGTGCTTGTGCTGGGTAGCTGATAATTGAACATGTGGATATTTCAACAATTTTATACGTGCAGAGGATTCCGATATTGCAACCAATTGATACGAGTCTAAATAATTTTATATCCATCTCTGTTACAGTGAACTAACTGGTTTGTAAACAATTTGAACATTTATCAAAAAATTAAAGTCAAATTAAAAATTGATTTGGGTTAGTAAATTATTCCCTAGCGAAATTTGATAATACACTCAGAGGTTTCGAGAAAAAACTATATTTTCTAAATTACAGTTTTGTGCAATTTTCCCTTTGTCTCTACATTTTCGACATTTAAAAAAATACTATGTAATATTACAAAGTATCACAAAATATCAGCGCCCTTGAATTTACCAGCCAAAATAATGATATGTTACGAGTTATTTAGCTTGATAGAGTACCAATTTAATGTTGTAGAATGTAGATGATACATCTATACTTAGTCGCTGATCAACTTTCCGGAGGCTACCGATTACCGATCTTAAATTTTCGAAATGGACGAGCCATCCTAATAATATTCCGTCATTAAATCTCAACAGATTGCGGAGACGCCAAACGGAAGTCTGAACGGAACCATTGCGTCTGAACTAAACCGTAGCAGCAACGGCAGCAGCAATCACGCCCCAGTTAACGGGACCAGCACGATTGGTCTTAACGGTGGCATCACCTCTGGTGGGGGTGTGTGGAGCACCCATCAAGAGCCTGCTGTTAATCCTAACACGCCAGGCTTCGAAGAAGATCTCAAAAACAACAGAAAATACTCTAGATTTAACAGCTAGTAGATCGCCAATTAATCATGAGGTGAAAAGTTGAAGCATAGAAGATGACGTTCTAATAATGCATTGTATATTAATTATATACGAATGTGATTTTTAAAATAATTCATTATTCGTACTAAAAGAATTGTTAAAGGTAATGAAAAATAGTTAGTGACTAAACGTGTTTCTTTCGACGTTGGTCCCTAATACCGAATACACTTGTAATAAATAAACTAATAACTTAAGTGATAAACTGTGCTAGCGTCAACGTGAACTACGAGTCTTGGTGTTCTACAAAAGCGATACGCAGCTATTTTGCAGTGAGTGTAATACAATACAGTGCCCGTATGGACGCCCAGATTGAAACGCTCGCCACTGTGCAAGGAGCACCAAAAGGGAGATAAAAAACTCTTTTGGCCATAAATTTCGCTCTCCAACTAACCCTGGAGCCAACTAACCCTGGGTTTGCCAATCCATGTAAACTATATACTGACTTCAGCAGTGGCTGCGTACTTGCCGCGAGCTATGGGTTTAAACCCCTGACTTAAGGCTACTACACCCCGGTGCATGCATACGCATGGGATGGAACCAAAAAGTGATGGTGGTATTAGGCTATGCTGGCCAGTAACACGCATCACGAATAAAACGAGCAGCATAAATGCCTTTACCGATTATAAAATGATACCTTACACAATAAGGGTAACGGAAATTATGCTCATGAAAAAAACAGTAAATAAACCACAACAAGACGTTTCCTTAAAAAAACATGCCTCGGTGCTCCATTAGTGATGTATTTTGCATTAGAGCACTTTCGTTCATCATCAAACTTCTACGGTCTTCACATGCGAAGAAAGCGGATACTAAGTAACGGGTAGCTTCCATCCCTTCTTCGTTGGTAGAGAAAATTATATAATTAAATAGCATTTCACTGCATTGAAGAAAGACGTTTTCCTATCGACCTTTCAAGATGATAAAAAACTATCATAAGGTGAAGAATAACACATGAACTATATAAAAATGGAAGCAAATTCTAGGCGTATATAATGGCTAGGTGTAGCTCTGTTAAATGTGATATTTTTATAGAACTCGTCTGGTAAATATGTGTAGTCGTTGTAATTCCATTAAAGTGAGAGATGAAATTGACAGGACATCGGAATAATTCCTGGCAGCACTTAATTTTAAGAACATCTTTCTTTATATGCCTGGGCATATATATCCTGCTGAGGCTACCGTTCATATTAACGATATTTATAATTACATTCATATTACCGTCTTGTTAATCATTTGGTTGTCGTTCAAACTGTTATTTACTTAGTCTCAACTTTATTTAGGAACGCATATAAACAGGTCAGCGTATACTTTAAAAAAATTTACTTTCCCCGTTATTGCTGTGGAATACTGTCGCCCATACCGAAATAGCTAGGCCTTGTGTGATTTAATTCAGAGTGAGTGTGCGTTTGCAAGAGCTCTGTTTTTATTTCAATATTAAACCATATGTTTTATTATTATCCCGTGCAATTGAAGCGAATTGAAACAGTTTCACTGAGGACTTTCATGCATTTTTTTCATACAATTTAGTGATGATGCATAGAGGGTTAGCCATTTCTCGGGCACACATCGGAATACGAATGAATTCAGAAATGTGATGCTAGTTCTTAGAGTTTCGCCATTTCTAAGGTGTGTATTAGAGTCGCTAATCGTAATTGATAAATTCATTATTATGAAAAAAAAATTGGTCTGTAAAATGGTCATAATATTGGAAATTCTGTAAAATTGGTTGTGTAAATATACACGGAAGCAATGTTACTGTTATATAATGTAATTTTTTAAGTTAATGGTTTCACCCTAAGGAATAATGTTACTTCCATGTTTGAAAAAAATGTATTTTGAAAAGCTTACTATTTTTGTGTTGGGCGCACTAAATTTTTATTAGAGAACTTCTCCCTACTTCCCTACCAAGAGTAGGAAGTAGAGAGACTTTAGGGCTGAGATTCCAAGCTACTGTATTTGATCACCTGCCATCGGATGGTTTACGTATTTATAAATTCTAAGAGAAATCAGTCGAGAAATAATGTAATGAATGTTTTATTACCACTTGAAGGGTATGGTATGATGCACAGAAACTCTTCGTCAATTCTTATAGAAAATCGTTCGACGGCTTAACAGATTATTAATTTAATGCTCATATAAACAGTAGTCACATAAAATCTTGACAGGAAAATTTCTTTGGGAAATCAGCAGTTGCGGCTCAAAAATGCAAACTTTTACTTAACAAGATGAAAGTAATTCAAATTAAATAATGCGTCGTGCAGTAGTAACTCCTTTGAAACGTAGCTCACCGGCTGATGGGTCAACGGTCTGTTTAAGGTAATGAATTTGAACGTAGATGTTTATTCTTGATAATTATTTTGCTTGTATGTCGTGGGGAGAATTGAATGCTGCTGAACTGGGGCATTTGAATATAATGAGGCTGGTACATTTTGTTATTCTAAGATAATCAATATACCGAAGATGTAATATTTTTAAAGGTTTGAAGTCATCTTAAAATTCATCCCACGCATTCTAAGAGAAAATCCCCATAATCGAATTTTTTGTACATAACCACTGATTAAGATTGTGTTGTGACTGAATTACACTTCAAATTGGGACCTGAAATGTTGGAGTAAGAATTATGCATTTGTAAGTGAAAATTGTATTCGTGTTTTCACTAAAAATGTTCATGTGAAGCAAATCTGCGCACATAGAATTTTGGAAAGACTGACAGCTAACTCGAGGTTGTATGTCGGTATTACAGTTAGGTCGTTTGTTCGCAGTGATATTCAAATCGAGCATTGCTTCTTACGCAGCCGAATTGTTTTAGTTCAATTTTATTTGATATAATTTACATTCCCTTAATTGTGCTGTTGATTTGCCTACACAAATGTCAGACAATTCCTAGTCTAGCTTTTTCGAGAAAAATACCAGCAATTTTAATGTTCCAGGAGTTCAATTAAGTTTACTGCGAGCGAGTTCATAAGATGCGCGCTGTATGACTCCTCAAAGCAAGATTTTTTACCTCAATTTTTCCGTGTCGTCTAGAGAAACTAAAACCAGGGATTTCCTTGCATCCAGTGTTCAGAAAAATTAATGTAACAAATTGTCCAAAAGTGACATTTTCTACATTAACACTGATACATCCTTCTGCTGGGCAAAACTGAGTCTGGATGGTCCAAACCAGGGCAAGAAGCGCATCGCTATGTGGATAAAGCCTCTCAATTTATCTGAGTGAGAGCTCGAGTTTACATTTCATTTATCGCGCTGATTTTACTACCGCAGTGAGAGTCGGTGGCTGGAAATTCTACAATGCAGCTTTGAACTTTCGGTCTGCACCTCCTGATCATTTTGTTTATCCTCACAACAGCATTACACTCGTATGAAATACAGAGGAACATTTCGGTTATTGTTTCACTCACCCTTGAAAAGATTACCAATAATTTATAGTTTATCGGCCGCATTAAATAAGTTTATTGAAATTATGCATACAAAAGTATCAAGTATCTAGAGATTCAACGATTTTATTCATTATTTAAATGACTTCAACAAGAAATTAATTCATTTCATGCAGTAAGGCGCAATGCATGTAGCGGCTTTGCCATCTACCTGGGAGCGAGTGACCCTTCAGATCAGTCAATAACTTGCTTGGACATATCGACTTCCCAGCGCCATGCAGGAGAGATGGCAGACAAGGCGATAGAAATAACTGGGCCCGTTAAGTTCAGAAAATATATCACAACTGAACAACAAAAAGCAATATCGTCTAAGTAATTCATTACAGTAGAAATTGCACACGAATAACGATTTATAGTAGTTATTTAAAACAGTGGTTCCTAAACTTTTGCAGGCTGGCGCCCCCTTGGCTCCCCGGTGAAGTTCTAGCGCAGCGCACCCCTCGCCCACAGACATGTGGAAACAAACACTTCTTTCTTGATATTTGGTATGCTGCCATTTTAAATGAGAAGGGTTAAACACAAATTTGTAATTCACAAATAAAATTCAATTTAGCAAACCAATATATTTTTACCAGTTTTAACTGTTTCAGCAACATAGCTCACCGCCCCATCAGATCTTTCCACCGCCCACTTTGGGAACCGCTGATTTAAAATAAGTAAGAACTCCCCGCTGTGATGCATCTATGCATGCAAAAACGGTTCCTGCAATACACAGAAAACTGTTAAAATATTCTTATGCGTCAAGTTAAGATCGGTAGCAGTTCAAAGAAGTCATAAATTTCTAAACATTATTTATCCATTTCATTTCAGTAAAAACATTATTTGATGAACTCTAGTCATTCAGAAAGTATCTAAAACAATTTTATGAATCACGTATCCACGATAATGAAATAGTATTACTATGACAAAAATTTATCAACTCTCCAAAATCGCATCGAATTTTGTAAATTAAAAAAAAGAATGCTGGAAGCAACTGATACGGGTAAGACGTTTCAAAAAACGTTAATAAATGGGCATAATCAGGTATAAATAGATAAAAAAACGCTATCGCTAGAAAATGAGCTCATGAACGAAAGATAATTAAACAATATGTTTCTTCATCAGCTCGCACTAGCGTTTCTTTCTTTCTAAACAATATGTTTCTTTATCAGCTCGCACTAGCGTTTGACATTAAATTAGTGAGGACTGGATCAAATGTTGACGTATCTAAACGAATTTTACAGACAATCTTTTTTTTAAGAAATTAACCGAACCATTTTGTGCTTGATTTATTTTAATCATTTCAACAAACTCGAGAAACGAGATGATTTAACAACTGTGTAGCGCTGGTAAAATTTTTGGGTATGTATGTCTGGTCTTTAGTGAAGTCGGTGATTAACATATAACTGCTCCTGATGAGGCAGTATCTCCTAGACAGATGCTCTCACCATATTCCGAGATCTACAAAATACAGTATACAGTGGTTTCCTTGAAATTTATACAGATGGGTCCAAAATTGTTGAGCCTGAGCCTTCATCAGCAGCATCAGTAGTGGTACAGGAAGCAGGCTTCTTTCAGATGAACAACTGGAAATTACATCCAGAGGATTCAATCTTGAGTTGTGAACTATTTGCCATTGCTCAGGCTGCTCTTATAATTAGGGATAGGAATGCTGATGACCAGGGGGCAGTGATATACACAGATTCATTATCAAGTCTGAATTTATTGGCATCCCGTAGACCATCATCTCATTTACCATTGGTATTCCAGATTCATCAAATATTGCATTTCCTTCGAGCTCGTCTTCCAGTTGTGATCCAGTTTGTCCCGGGCCACAAGAACATCAGGGGAAATGAGATGGCTGATCTGGCTGCTAAAGCAGCTCATGCATTAACCGAGGTATCAGATGAGGCCGTGATGAGCAGGGAGGACAAGGTGAGAGAGATAAGAGTGGCAGTCCGGAGAGCTTGGGAGGAAGGAAAGTGGGATATTGGCCTTGGTCATCCATCAGGGAGAGAACCATTGAAACCGCATTGGCGAAATTCAGATTAGGGCATGTGGGACTTGGGGAGCACTTGTTTAGGTTTAATATGACTAACACAGACCTTTGTTTATGTGGGAGAGTTGAAACAATCCAGCACTTCTTCTTGCAATGCCCATTATTTGCTGACAGTCGCTCAGATTTGCTGACCCAACTGCACTCAATTGGAGTTCCAGTTACATTAAAATGCATATTAGGTGGAGGAGAATATCCTCATAAAATCCAAGCACAAATTATGCAAAGTGTATCACTTTTCTTAGCCTCAACGGGAAAGTTGAAGCAACTTTAAACCAAACCAATAACCTAGACAAAGAACTTCAAAAAGGCCAAATGGCCACAAATCACCAGCACCTCTCCTGCAGATGTACATAGGAATGTTAGTGCATCACCTGTAAGGGGGAGTTGCTGGAGGTTGTCTCACTGTCCTTAAGATTAGTCTTTGGACCAAGAAATTATTCTTTTTTGCCCCCATACCCGGACTGTAGTAGTGGTAAAGTATATGTAGTAGGGTCCGTGGTATGCTCGTAAATATCTAGTCACTTCCCCCTGAGAACAAATTGAATGCTCCAGGCTGCGCCAGCCCAGGCTGGACCATTTTGGCCCTATGAATCCTTGTGTCCAAATGACAATATTAGTGCTAGGTAAGGGTTACTAACCGGTAGACTAATCAGATGCACTATTTAACGCTCATAAGACACAATTATTTTGCCTAATAGCCTTATTTATTACAGATTGGCTTGCCAGACGAGGGAGCCTTTTGAGCCGTGAGGTGTATGGAGGACGACTCCACTTCCTCAAGAAGCAGACAAAACAACATATCTCCTAACAACTCGTTAAACAAGTGAATTTCAAAATCTTTGACGTTAAACGCAGTGATAGTAAAGTGATGCACAGTGTTTGTAAATTATTCAAGTATTTATGTTTAGTTGTTCCGGAATTAGGTAACTTTCCGATAACTGCCCTAAATGATGTTGGATCTCGACCAAACTGTAGAAACAAGTTTATTTTTCATGAGCGGGGTGATGGCAGAAATTTCGGGTATGTACAGTAAGTACGGTTTTGCGTATAGAAATGCAGTTATTACCCGATAACTCGTAAATAAAAATGGTTCTCCACCGAAATCGAGTAAAAAGTGGATTTCACGATTGCTCAGTACATGTAAAATTTTTAGACTTGCATGTCAAGTGTGTTCTTACATATAGGTTAGTAATCGATAACTAGCCCAAATGAACTTGATTACAACAAAACCCGAGGATAATGTTATTTTTTTCACCTGCGCACTGACCATAATTTTTGAGTAGGTGTGCTTGATCATTCATGAATTAGATAATTTACCAAAAAATGCACAGAATTGAACTAATCAAACTCTCGAAATTAATCATTTCTAGAACTGCGAAGTGATTCCAAAAATTCCTGATTTTTAATCGTTCCTGAATTACTTGCTCAACCGATAACTACACCGATATAAGCTGAGTCTTCACCAATCTTGAGGATTAAGTTAATTTTACAACTGGTAGTGATGGTTACAATTGTTGGTGTGTGGATTTAATCGTTCCTTAATTAGGTAAATAATCGATAACTGCCACAAATGAAGTTGGATCTCCACCAAACACGAAAGAAAAGTTATCTTTACAACTACACACTGATGTAGTGGTAAGCCCGCGTGCTTACCACTACATCAGTGGTATCGAGTTTTGTTACAAATTCCACCAAAGTTCTCAGTATATTTCTACATACCTAATGAGTACAACATTGATTTTTTTCACTATGTTTGTATTATATAACCGATAACTGTCGCAAATGAACGGAGACCTCCGCCAGACTCGAAAAATATGTAACTTTTACTTCTGCGTTAAGGCGGTATTATTTTCAGGAATGTGGATTTATTCTATTCAAAATTTGGCAATCAACCGATAACTGCCACAAACGAAGTTTAATCTCAAACAAAGTCGAGAAATGCGACAAATTTACATCTGGGCACTGTTTGTGATAACTTCGATTTGTAATTTTCATCGTTTCAGAACTTTGTAATTTTTATTAATGATATCTCCCACATATTAACATGGATAATTCTCCAATCTTGAAAAATCTGTTCATTTTACAGTTGAGCAGTTACTGGTTTAATCTCAGGTGAGTGGGTCTTGAATGTCAGAAGTGAACAAAATCTGTGAATTAGATACGGCTCGGTGAATATGGAGAAGTTATTTCGCTGAAGTAGCGTAAGTTATGCATTAAACTATGAATAAATTTCAAATCTAAGTTCCAGGCCTTCAATAAATACATTAAATTACGTAATTAATTTCCAGCATCACAGACATAAAAATATATCAACATTCCGACGAGCGCAAATTGATAAATGTTGTATCCCAGATACAGGCACATTGCGATTGCTATGCATACTCTCAAAAGATCAATATTTATCATGAGATTTTTGGAAGTTACCTTCATTTATTCAATGCTGGTTCTATTTTTTGGAACAATTTTATTTTTGGAATGTTACTCCATCCATAAAGGAATTTTTTATTGTTCTTTCATTTTCAAAAAGTAATTTACTAGAAGACAATGGGTGCGGTAGAGGTCACTAATTACTAATTTAAGGTGGAGTAAGGTATTTATACTAAGTACTGAAAGTAGAGTATAATACAGAACGAATCGCTAAAAAATTGCTTGGCAAGAGAATTAGGAATTCATGAGACGTTACATTAGACATTGCAAAGACTGGGTGACAGACAAATGTGTCCTGAGTACTTGAAACTATGGACAGGTTTTCGAAATAAAACCTATAACATAGCCTCTCAAATTGTTAACTGAATTATTTACGTCTCTAAATTATGACGAGTAACATTAACTTTCCAAGTATATAACCCGACGAAATAAAACAAATATTATGTAAATCATAACTGTTATAAAATGTTATGATGTCCGGCTTCTAAACTTCTCACGAGTCTTTTCTTCAACCTCTAAATGAGGATTAGAATGTAAAAGTAAAACTATAAGAAATAGGTAGAGAATTCAAGAAATCATTCGGCTTAAGAGAGGAGTGGCGAAAATTACAAGATATATTAGAGAACGAAACTAACGTGGAAGAGTGAGAGAGAAACGGCAAGGCAGAGAGAGTGAGTGAGAAGAGAGAGAGAGAGAGAGAGAGAGAGAGAGAGCGTGGTGGCGAGCGATGATGAAGCCGTCACTTAGAGCTACTGCAGCTATGCTAATAAAGGATAAGGCTACCAAAGTGATTATCATATTAATTAGATTTGCGATGTCTGGGGCCCAAGAATTGCTCAGGGCTTTGGCTCCGGGCTCCGCTTTGATGTTCAACGCTCGTAAATGAAGTCCAGACTTTAAAATTATTCGCTAAATTTGGAGCGAACTTCTCTGCAGTCTGGGCCTGCTCCTCCTTAATATTCTTAAGTGGAACGTTAATTAAAGGATGGAGCCAACATCGTGATCAGTTTGCGATGCCCAAGACTTTCTTCTTGTCGTGCAAATTTGGCTCAATGCTTACAAATTCTGGCAGGAATACTGTTGGAATTAGGTGTTAATAAAAACAACAAATGAAAGTAGGATATTTACAATAGCTGCCATGGAGCTCGGATGCAACATCTTCGGTATGTTCGTTTAAAAAATGTTCATTTTTGAAATTGAGCATACATAAAATTTGATGTAATCAAAATAAGATTAATATTGTGCTCTTTCCGAAATAAAAATTGCGACAATAGAGTCACGCATCATCATCATCAATACCCAGCGAAAATTTACAGACGCGGCAGCTTCTGATTTGGATTACCAGAAGCTGGGGCGACTCTAAATTTTGTTAGGGTAATAGAATATCATATATCCCCGTTTCAAAGTAACTTCTCCATCTTACTTCCTAATCATCGCAATCGGAAGAGAACCTGCCTTGTGTTTAACTGCCTGTTCCTCATGCAAAAGCTCAAAAGTTCACATTGATTGAGAAATTGCCGCCTAACTGTCGTCCATCATTTCAGTGGATGGCCGGCACGTGAAAAAAAAACACCGTGTTGCTGTTTATTCCGATTTAACACCGAAAATCCGTAACATTTTTGAAAAAGCGACAAAATTTTCACGGGACGGCTGCCTACTAGAACACCGGTCAGACCATTTTTTAGCGTTATTTCAAACAGTGCTCACAGGAACTCTATGTGTGGCTTTAACAGCAGCTCGTTTTCGAGGTTCACGATAAAAGAAATAGAGAGTTCTTACGATAAAAGAAATAGAGAATTCTTACGATAAAAAATTCTTGACGCGTGGTACTTCTTATCTCAAGATTTGACGTCTAGAAGACCATAGCAAATACATAATCTTTGTTTGAATCGTCCATAAAAATTAACATGCTCAGGACAATAAGTGGCCAATTATCAGCCATTCACTTGTCATTTTTCGGTACCTTCTGGATAAGAAAGTAATCCTGCATGTATCGCAGTCGTGAGACGTTTTTATATAATCCTGGTATCACAGTCGTCAGGCGTTCTCTACTAGAATTTGAACTTAAGACGGAATTTCATATTTTTAATTGCGGCACTGTCAAGCTCCCAGATTAATTTTTCGCACAATGCGCGTACCCCTAAGAAAATTTTCGGTATGGGAGAGCATCTGCGGATGACTCCCTACAGTCGGGTTAAAGTTATTCTGGTCTGGGTCTTCTTGGCCACCCGATCGAAATAAGCGATTTCATTGAGTTCAAGGACCGATCGAGGCAACAATGATGCAAACGCATCAGCGCAATATCGTGCGCCGAGGACCGGCCACTTATATTTCACCTTAAATCACTTTACAGGATTATTAATTCAATTACATAATATTTCGTAAACAACCTGATGCATATTGAATAATTTATATAATCGAGCAAAGATTATATAAATTTAGATTTAGAGTTCACTCTAAAATAGACTCTGAAGTTGCACGACAAACAAATTAAATGAGGAAATAATAACAACGCACACCTTAGCCGAAAAGCTATTATAAATTGGCTAAATTTTAGCTGAAATCAATAGAAAATTCCTAAATTCCTAATATCTTCAAATTCAGCTATCCCGAGTCCTCTTATTCCGATATTTTGTTTTATTTTTTCCACAAAAATCTAGTTCAATAAATAAGACCGAAAATAATTTGTAATCGGACCTCATTTTCCTCGTTTATGTAGGCCTCGTTTTTCATGAAAATACTGTAATCACAATCTAGATAATATCCTGAGCCCAGGTACGTATACAGGATACGAGCTCGAAAAGCCCCCACGGTGCGACTGTTGGTATACGGCCAGGCTGGATGGGCAGCACTCGAAAGATTGCATCTATGGGCTTTTTCCGCTTCGGAATTCAAAGCTCTCGTCGTCAGGCGGTATTGACAAAAAGCTTGAATTCTGTCAAGTAACGGAGTAAGTCTACAGTCTAATTAAGATGTTTGGTGCAAAATTGTTTAAAATTTATAGAATATTTTGAAAACGAAAAATTTGGTTTCTTAAATATTTACTACAACAGTTATCAAGTGCCCTGCAAAGTGCATAAGAACTTCGCAAAATGTACCCTAACAATATTCTGAGGTTAAAAGGATGCCCTTGCATTTTAATGGTAATAATTAAATTGTACGGCGAGTTAACATAGTCAATGAATCGAGTTGAAAAATATGTTCATTTAACTTTGAATCATGAAACCCTTTGAATCACGAGTCACCAAAATTCCCGCAAAAATTTATGTAGGAAGATAGAGGAGCAAAAAAAAATTTCGTTTTGAAATTATAAGTGTACTTTTTTTTCTTTTTGTTGAATGAATTATAAGAGATGATTTGAAAAATTTAAAAA